TACTCCATCATATAACTTATGTTTGGGTTTTTTGTTCATTGATTTGGAATTAATCAATCCACAAAAAATATGAAAATCTATAATTTTAAAAGTATATAAGAGATATTTAGGTGGAGAGCTTCTAGCAATAAATTATCTACCAAAGATAACCTACAATAAATTAGTTAATTTGTAAAATTTCAAAAGTTGTTTGGTTTAAAGTTGTCCGTTGGTGGGGTAATAGTATGATATCTGACGTTTTGTTATTCTGTTAGTTGGTTTTATAAAAGATGTAGAAAGTATATAATCAATCGGTAGATATTGATATCTAAATGCTACTTTGTTGTTATGCCTTTATAATTTTGGTTCCATGTTAGTCTCTTGATAGATGCTAATCTAGATTCTTTTGTAGGTTTCTTTAAGCCTGCTAAGATCTTTTTTCTTTTGCACATTTGGTTAAGCCTTCTTTGAAGGCTAGATCCATCACATGGGAAAAAAATCATTTTTGTTTAATTTTTACCAAAACACATATTACAATGGTATATAGTTTCTCCGATGGCAAACCCTAAATATTCGGTGGTGGTTATCTAAGGTTTTGTGAAATCATCGGAGTTGGAAGAAAGGCTAACGGAAGAAGAAGGGTGAGTAAGGAAGAATGTGAGACCATTTTAATTTTAACAAATAATAAATAAATAAATTAAAAAAGAAATTAGTATGGAAAAAATAGTTTATTTATGTATGAAAAGGACACAACAAAAACATAAAGACTGTTTGTGTTTTTAAAAAAATATATACATTAAGACCAAACTCGTAGATTACCTGAACCAAATGGACATAAGTATAGTTTACTCCAAAATAGAGGTTCGGGTGTAATTTATGCACTTAAAAGACGAAACTGCCCTCCAAATGATCGGAACATCCAGTCCCAAGTGGCTTTAAATCTGACATGGAACGGTGCCATTGGTTGAAAGACTGTAACCTACGTGGTACCGCCATTGAAGAATCCATAGTCAAAAACCACAAGACTTCTATATGTTCTCCCAAGACATCACAAAGCAAGCAAGATCATACAACACGTTTTCTCTAAGGACCGGTGTATTCTCCATCGGCATTTTGGATCCCCGGCCGCAAGCCCCGACCTGAGAAAAACCGACAGTCGTGGCTTCTCCTTCACCGTCAGGGCAACAGCAACAGAGCAGGAACAATCTTTCACGAAGAAGAACCGCATCGTCTAGTTCATCGGAACCTACGCACATCATCTACAAAGAAACGATAGGCCGGTCGTTTTCTTCTGAATCCGATCTTGACTTACCGATTTGGCAACGAACTTGGTTCATCCTACTTCTACTCGTAATGGCATTTTCTTTCTTCGGTCTCGCTCTCTTTCTCGTCCTAACTCTAGACTCAGATTATGCCTCATCTTCTGTCTATGCTGCTACTTCCGAAGGCGTCGAGGTAATTAGCTTATTTATGATCTAATTACAAATTGATAACATGAGGTTGTATATGTTTCCTGCTTTACTTGGTTCCTTTAATCACACTTGTTTGAAAATTTTCCCCTAAGACTAACTTCAGGTTCAAAATTGACATGGATCCTGAAATTTTGAGGAAGATGCTAACTACATCTGGCCTTTAGTAACTAAATTGAAAGAATGTTGGGATAAACCAAAATTTTTTAACATAATCTAATATCAATCTCAAATTGAGGAAGCAGCAGGTTTGGCCTCAGAGTTTAAGTGACTTTTTCTCATTCCTGTATTGAATGTAATTGTTAATCCAGATATTATTGTTGTTAGGCAATTTAGTAACACTTGTTTGCGTGTGTATCAGTCAATCTGTAGGTGAATGTGCTCTGTTCATAGGAAAGAAGAAAAATGATTAACAGTACATTAAGAACTTTAGGTTCAAAAACTGATTCAGGTACATTAAGAAGTTTAGAAGATGACAGTATCTAAGATGGAATAACTGGATATTGCATAGCAGTTTAAGATGAATCACCAACAAAACAATAGCCCTCCAGTTACAATGGTTGAAAGCATGCTTTCTATATCTTTTCAATTAACTACTATAGTAGAAAATAACAAAAAGTAAGCACTTGAAGTAGTCATCAAAGCAATCATGCAAGATTTTCATGCTTATTATTGGAACATAAGTAATATATTTGCAATCAGGCTCATTTTTTGGAAGTGAATATATATGATAGATTACTTACGGGTCGGTGATCAAGTTGATGCATGAAAAGACAAAGTTCAGACTACACTCACATGATGTGCCATATGGATCTGGCAGTGGACAGCAATCTGTAACTGGTTTTCCAAATGTGGATGATGCCAATAGCTATTGGGTATGTTGATGGATGTTTTCATATCTAATTTTATATGTTTGATTTCATTTCAATGCCTTATTCTGATTCTTTGGTTTATATAATATTGTTTAGATTGTTAGACCTGAACCAGATACATCTGTGAAACTGGGGGACAGTATAAAAACTGGAACCATCATTCGGTTGCAACACTTGAAAACTAGGAAGTGGCTTCATAGTCACTTACATGCTTCACCAATATCTGGCAACCTAGAGGTTAGTGGATTGGATTTGATTTTTTTCTTCTTAATATCATGTTAAAAAGCTGCAACTTAAGTAATTGAGGTTTTGTGTAGGTGAGTTGTTTTGGAGATGATGGTAATTCAGATACAGGAGATTATTGGAGGTGAGATCGAGTTTTGTTGGTTGTTATAAATTTATGTTGTGAAGTTAAAATGTTTTGTTTTTTTTTTTTTTTTTTGTGAAGAGTTGAAATTGAGGGAGGCGGGAAAACATGGAGACAGGATCAAAGAATAAGGCTTCTCCATGTAGACACAAACGGATTTCTACACAGCCATAATAAGAAATACAGTCGCATTGCTGGTGGTCAGCAAGAGGTAATCAATCATATTGCTCTTATCAAATTAAAATTTGTTTTTTAAACTTCATCTATCTATGGAAAAAATAAAAAATAAATAACATTGCTTTTATGTAGGTTTGTGGTGTAAGGGAGAAACGAGCTGATAATGTTTGGTTGGCTGCAGAAGGCATATACCTCCCAACAACCGAAAGCAAAGCGACCATGTAGTTTTCCCCTCTCTCTTTTTTTTTTCATGAATTTTGTAGCTTGTTTCAGGGCATACTTTGTAAGCTGATTATATCCACAACACTAATTAAAATGTTGAATCTTCTTATTAACAGTCTGGGTAAAGTCAAAATATATCTAGATAATATGGAAACGTGTTGAAACTCTTCATAAATATATTTCTAGTGCATATTTTTTTGCTAAATCTTCAATTATTATTTTGGTAATGTAGCTATTTAGTTATTTTTATGAAAAAAAATCCCCACTTAACCAAACATAAACGGATTCATCACAACATATACCAAAAATTAAATTGTAACATGTATTTCTCTTTGTGTGTTTATGTATGAAGGGTGCAACTGGCAACTGCCATAGTTTTTCCCTGTTTGAAATAGGCAAGTTGTCCGAAATAATCAAGTATTTTGTTCTTTTTATTAAATATGGACTCTTTATCCATTATTGCAACGTATGACATCAACATATTTACATACATTCATAAATATAACAAATACAACAATAAGTAACATACAAGGTTTACAGTTACACAGTAGCGAAAAGTGTTGTTATTATGCATAAAAATTACTAGCTATTAGCAGTAGCAAATCTAGAACAAAAAATCATGTGGTTCCTAAATTAAGTGAAGCTAATAAAAAAATCAACAACACTTTTGGAGGTCGGATCGAGTCGGATCATGTACCTTAAAAGAACTGAACCGGTTCAATCGGTTAAAAACGAGCAAACGCCACCGATTAAAAATTTTAAAAACCGATTGAAATATAACTGAAAAACTCGTACGGTTTAACGAAAAACTAGTTGATTATTAGTCCATTGATAAAGCGGCGAACGGAAAGTGAGAGTCTTTGGCATGTGTACTTCTTTTTATTAGAGCAACTGAAAACGGGTGTGGTGCCTAACAATGTCTCCAACAATTGGTGTCATATATGTAGGATGCCACCATTCAATGTCTAACTATCCATATATAATGGTGACATGTTGTGGTGCCTAACAATGCCTCCAACCTTTGCAATTCAAAAAAAAAACATTTAAATAATAAAGATCATAGCATTAAAATTAAGATTAAAAAAAACATTACTTTAAATTAAAAAAATATAAATAAAAATTAAAAACCTTGAGTTGTAGTAGGGCAAATTTTCCATTCCCAATTAAGACAATCTAAACTTCCAAACATTTCAGAAAATCCATGAATATATGGGAGAGCATGTACTGTTTGAACATTAGCAGATGTAGATTAAAACAAAAACATTGCACCGTAAAGTGCGATAATGCATCTTCAAAACTCTTCGAGGCTTTCGTGTTCAACCCACTCATATATTTGGAAACATTCATCCCAACTATTCAATACGCCACTGTATGCTAACTGACGAACCGCAACTACACATTTATGTAGTGGACTAAAACCTTCGGCACCTATTCGGGATGGCTGATAAAATGAGACATGTTCGTCACTTCATTGACTATGCGTAGAAACAATCTTTCTACATTCGAAACCGTCGACGAAAAATATGACCTTCGTAAACAGCAGCGTCATTGTAATAATATGCCATAAGACGGTCGTTAGCAGCCCAATGGTTTTTTAGCAACTTAGTTTGTGTCATCTGCTCTGAATTTTTAGCTTCATCTTCTTCTTCTAAAATTTCCATCACATGTTCCATCGATTTCAAAATAGTCGGCCCCATACTAATCGGCCAACCATTTCTTCGAGATGGATCCAACATTTTTTTGTGAGTTTGGTTTGTACAGAGTGGGAGAAATAAGAGAAATTTGAAAGAGTGAGTGAGATTGGTATAAAAATGTGGTAGCTGTTTAAATATTTATAGTTAAAAAAAAATGAAATAAATGTTTATATAAATGTCTAATATCACCGTTGGGTGGGATAGAATAGCACATTGCTGTTCAAATTTGAGCCACACAAAAATGCAGCCCGACATTGCCATTCGAAAATGCCTGCAATGGGAGACAATGTTTGCCTCCAGCAATGCCATCCACATCATCGACATCTCTTGGCCTTATAGGGAAAAAATGTAAAACATTTTATAGATAAAAAAATACAATCTATTGCCCATGTAAGTGGCGAGAGTAAAATATCTGCACAAATTTGAGCATTGATTGTCGTTAAATCTGTTTGAGAAAATAGATGCTGGAACACAACATAACATTTATCAGAACCATGCATTCCATATTAAGTGAGCATTAATACATATCTATATTAAAATGACAAGCCGTTTATAGTATATTTATTTTTATTTCTATATCTAAAAATGTTAAATTTGAACGATTTGTTTTCAACATTGCATTAGCTTACACATTAGTTAATTAAACAAAATTTCAAAATTTCAATTTTTTTGGTTAAAAAAGAAGCCATTTCTTAATCCATGATTCAACAAGCAGCGTCACATAAATAGAGTAAAAACTAAAACTTGAAACTCTGGATAGTTGGAATCTAATGTTTATAAAACCATTCAAAATTTTCTAAAACAAAGTTCCAAACAGACAAAAGTCGAAAAATAAAACAAAGTTTTGGATTCCCACCAACTAGTTTCGATCCATTCTCAAATACTTAGTGGGATTTCACATACTCCTGAACAATGTGAAGTCCTTCAGACTCCTCACCATAATCCTGAAAAAAAACATTCAAAAAAAATAAATTCACAAAGGCAATAAAAAAATCCCATTGATTTACAACATATCTTCGAAATAAATGTGTAAACATACCCTCACAACAAGGCATGAACAACCCACAACCTTTCTTGCCTTTCCTTCCGAATCAATCTTGCACAACTGCAGATAAATAAAAAAATCTTACAACATCTATAGCATAAAAAGACCAAAATGTCCTTTCACATAGAAAGAAATAACTTACGCCAGCCCATTCGCCAAGAGTCTTTGCAGCTGGAACAGTTACTAAGCTGACATTATGGTCAGCACAAAGTGCTTTGACCAATTTTTGGTAGTCAGGCTGATTACAATCCTCTGCCAATACACAAAGAAGAGCAGCATGTTTCTCAATAACTTTTGCAGCCTCATGAAGACCCCTCACAAGGCCTCCATGAGCAAGTGACTTTCTTAGAACAAGCTGCAAAGCTGTCATGATGTCCATTGGCTCCCCAAGAGCTGCTGCTGGGGCTGCAGGTGCCTCCACTGGTACTACAACAGCCTCTTCACTGAAAAAGGTAATATAATTTGAGCAAAAAAGTTTAAAACTCTAAAATCTTCATCGATAGAAAATAACTACAGGGAAAAAAAAACAGTTTTATATCTTGTTCTAAAGAAGAAGAATTGGTAACAACTTAACATACCCTGCCATTTTGTTCTGTTTGATTAATCTTCTGTCAAACTGTTTCAAAAAGAAAGCTAAGTCAGAGATATTATAAACACAACCAATCCCATATCACATTCATGAAAATCAATTGAAGTAGAATACCAAACACATTCATGGAAATCAATTGAAGTAGAATATCAAACACATTCACGAAAACTGAAGTAGAATATCAAACACATTCATCAATTGAAGTAGAATATCAAATAAAAAAATGAAAACATATTTGATGATGGGGAAAGAATGCCGATCAGAAGCATATACATCAGCCTCAATTCCTACCTTCTGAGCTATGCCAAGCTATTCTCATAAAGAAAACCTAAAACGTTCGCCGTCTTTAACGTTGCCTACCAAGTGTTCAGTGAATGCAAAAATGACCAGTAGTTTACTCAAAACGAATATAAAACGACTAATCCAATGAAAGTTTTTCCTTGATTTTCAAATTAATGTCAAAATCGAAATTAAAACAATCTAGAGTTTTCTTCATCTCTACACATGTTTCCTATCAACCATATAGATTTACAGGGTAGTAGTATCCAAAATTAAACAAAATATCTGTTCAGATTAACGAACAATTAAGCAAGAATACCAAATGTCATCGCATCAATTCACAATATATTCAATCAGCCTGAGATCGAGAGATATACCTGCAGCTGCTGCTATGAAGAGATTAGAGAGACGAAGGAACTGGTAGGGTGCGCGAGCCAAAACCCTAGCTGTATATAAAGTCCGATCAGTTTTAAGTTATTCCCTTGTAGTTTATATTACTTACTATATACCCCTCTAAGTTCTATCTATTTTAAAATAGTCGTGCATAATCTTCTTGCAATGTGCGTAAACTCATCATATTCATTAAATTGGAAAACTTATAATTTGTTGAGTAAAATACTAAACCATATAAATGATCTTTGTGGTATGCATTTTTGTTTGGGTCAAAAAAATGTTGTCTTCTATATATTTGGTCCTTATTGCATTGTGTTTGTTTTAATTTTGGTCCCTAAATCTAACCCTTGAACATTTTAGTCATTGAGGACAGCCATATGGTCCAAACAAGATGGTATTTCGGTCTAAGAATGCAAGTATTGTAATCACAATATTTTCCCGTAACCCTTCTCTCATTCGTTAAACAGTATAAATAATAAAATAATACAAGAGACCACATAATACACGAATGAGCCTAAACAACTAAAGAGCCTTAACAACAAGAATAAGACTAACAATAAAGTCCACTAACAGTCCCCCACAGTGTGAACGGTAGGGCATCGAACGTTCAAACTGTTACGAAAATCAAGAAAAAATGGATAAGGCAAGCTTTTAGTAAAAATATCCACATATTGAGCCGAAGATGGAACATGCAAGACCCGAACTTGACCCAAAGCAACTTGGTCTCGAACAAAATGTATATCAATATCGATATGCTTGGTTCGTTGATGTTGAACTGGATTGGAAGCAAGATAAACAACGTTGATGTTGTCACAATAAACAATAGTAGCCTTTTGAGGAGAATGAGACAACTCGCAAAGGAGATTGCGTAACCAGCAGGTTTCAACAACAACATTAGCAACACCTCTATATTCAGCTTCAGCACTCGATCAGGAGGTGGTCCCTTGACGTTTGGAGTACCAAGATAGTAAGTTGTTACCGAGAAACACACAGTATCCAGAGGTAGAACACCTGGTAGAAGGGCAACCAGCCCAGTCTGTATCAGAGTAGGCAGTAAGATCCATGGATGAGTGGGAGTACAACTGAAGACCATAAGACGTTGTACCTCGAACGTAGCACAACACTCTCTTAAGGGCAGCCAAATGAGGTTCCTTGGGATCATGCATAAATAAACATAATTGTTGAATTGCATAGGTAAGATCTGGATGAGTAAAGGTAATATACTAGAGAGCTCCAACAAGACTGCGCTATGAAGTTGGGTCTTGTACTCTAGGTCCTGTACCATCAAGTTTGGTGGATAAGTATGCATGTGTAGTGGCAGTTTTACAGTGCAACATGCCAGCTCGGTCAAGAATTTATGAAACATACTTTTGTTTGAGACAAAAAACAAACCCTTGGAGTCACGAACGACAGAAATACCCAGAAAATAATGAAGATCCCCTAGGTCAAACATAGAAAACTCAGCACTTAAAGTGGTGTTGATCTGTGAGATAAGAGCTTGAGATGAACCTGTCAAAATAATATCATCTACATAGAGAAGCAGATAAGCAATCTGAGAATCATGTCGATATATAAACAACGAAGAGTCTGAGCGACTGTGAACAAAAACCCATGCGAGCGATGAACATGGAAAATCTGTGAAACCATTCCCGAGGTGCTTGTTTGAGACCATAAAGAAAGCGTTAGAGACACACATGATTCGGTTTGGCAGGATCTTTAAAACTGGGAGGTTGATTCATGTACACAGTTTCTTCAAGATTACCTTGTAATAATGCATTCTTGACAATACAAGAGGCCACATAATACAAAAGGCCACATTCATTAAACAATATAAATAGTAAAACAATACAAGAGGCCACATAATACACGGATGAGCCTAAACAACTAAAGAGCCTAAACAACAAGAATAAGACTAACAATAAAGTCCACTAACAAGTATGAAATCATTATGTTGTTCTTGTTCTACTAAACTTTTGAGTTTTTATCTAAGAACAACCGACCATGTTTTCAAATTAAGGGCGACTTAATGTTTGGCTTTATTAGATGGGTTGATCCATTCAGGGTCGGACCAATGGTAAGACGGTTTGAGCAATAGTTCAGGACCTCCAAATTTTAAGGGTCATATTTTTTATATACCTTGTTATGTTCATATAAAAAAAACTAATATGTCGTGCACAACGAGCAACATAGCGAAAAAAAATGAAAATGAAGTCAAAACAAAATAAAAAAAGAACACTATGGGCAGGGGCGGACCCAAAAATTTTCCGAAGAGGGGGCAAAAAAAATTTATAACTTTTTTATGGGGGGCAAATTTTTTTTGAAGAGTCAAAATATATAATTTTGAAGGATTAAAATATATTTCTTTTGAAAAAAAAAACATATTTTTAATGATTTTTTTTTGTTGTGGGGGCAATTGCCCCCATTGTAGGACCGCCCATGACTATGAGACGTGCAATTCGTTTGGAATAATCATCGTGTTATGTTTCTTCCTACCATCGATCGAAAGACTTTACGAATGAAGTCTAACTTTTAACGGTAACAAAAAAAATCAATCCATAATAAATTTGATTATGGTTTTTTATGTATCATCCGGATTTCTAATTTCAATCGCACTAAAGTGGCAATTTCAATGGGTAACAGTTTAATATAACATATATATTTTTTGCAATGATTGATCCGAAATGATCTGAAATGTTCAACAATCAACATAAAAAATGTACAACCAAATACATAATTTAACAAACGTTTGAAATCATTTATTAAGCCAAATAAACTACATTAACAAGCGCATAATAATAAGCAAAAGTTCCCCTAACAACTATACACACAATACATAAAAATCAACATCTAAAAGAAATATAATTTTAAAAACATACAACTAAAACACAAAAGTTGTAGGTTCCTTAAACAAATACAATATCTTGCCAACATTCATAAAAGAAAACGAATGTGAAGTTCCTTCAAAGAATATGTCATTTCATTTTTTCAACTTCTCGTTGGCCTTTGTAGGTTTTGGATGTGTCATTTATTCTTGAATTTGACACATGTAACCTATATACCCAAGATAATGCAAGTTTACCTAAATAAAAAAAATTCACATTTAGCCAATACTAAAACAAATAAATCGAATCAATAAAACCAAAACTCGATGAAACCAAACATCACTCGATTCAATCTTGGTTAATATTTTTGAAGTAAAAAACCCGATTAAATCGAACCAAAGAAGGTGGCCATTAAATGATTGTCAATAGGGTTGAGACCCTTATCTTATCTCTAACTTGCTCTGAGAAAGTTTTTATCGGGTCTCAACCCTCTTGACTATTATATATATATATATATATATATATATGCTTAGGTTATTGTATTCTAACTAATTATTGTGTGGATGTAGGAATGATTGTGGGTCAATCATTTTACTTATTTTAAGAAAGTGATTAATACATATTATTGAATTAAATAGATTGAAAAATATCCATCTAATTAATTCAAGGGTATTTGTAGTCACAATTATATAGATTTAATAAAGGAAAATTACATATTTTAAGGGATCATATGATTCTATTAATTTTAAAAATCCGATTTTACGAATTATAATTCTTTTAATTCAGACATTCTGACAGAATATGTTTATGAGTATATTCAAAAATAAAAATATTCTTAACCATAAATAAGAAAAAATATTCGTGAACCTATTTCTTGATCATGACTTTAAAAACTTCTTGTAGAATAAAAAAGTTCTTGAACCATCAATTGAAGAATAAAAAGAAAAATTACATTAATTCTTATAGAATAGGGGTAACAATTGCTAAGAATTACATTTATTGTTAAAGAATAAAACTAAAAAAACTTTCAAATCGGGAAAGAAAACATCAAAATCTAACAAAGACACTAATACATTCTAAAAGAATAATGTTGCTAAGAGCACTTTCAATTTTGGTGGCCCGTTCTTCAAGCATCAACTTCTGTGAAAACAAAACCAAATTGTAGTTTAGAATCCAATAATGCATTAGCAAATGAAAAATAAAAAACTAATTTCCTTTGGAAAAATATGCGGACTTATGAATTGCACCAAAACCAATAACCAAGATTGTATAACATGCATAAATCAGTGAGAAAATATTCATATTCCATTCCAACAGAATTGGAATTCGTGATTACATTCCGATAGAATTGAAATTCAAGATTCAATTACCGTATGCATTATGTTGGAATTACCTCATAAGTTTTACTTAACCTGATCATTATGTGAAAAAAAAAATAAAAAAAAAATCAAATCCCTAGCTTTCAACTTTCATCCTTTCCAAATTAATTAATGTTTGTACAAGTCAAAACAAATATCACATATCATGTTTTAAAACAAATGTATCTTCTTTAACTAAACCCACAGTGCTATTGTAACACCGAAATTTTAAACAATTTTTCACATTTTCAAAAACATACTTTCATTCATAAATATTATAAATGTCATTGTAATCACATATCAATCCATAGAAACACAATCCCAAGATTATAATGTATAAAACTTCTCATGTGTGTACTGATCATGTCGGCGCCTTCCCACGATCCTCACTGATACCTGAAACACATAACACAACACTGTAAGCATAAATGCTTAGTGAGTTCCCCAAAATACCACATATAACACATATTAGCCACTCGAGGCTGTAACTCTGTGGACCCTCTGGTCCTAACTCTGTGGACCCTCTGGTCCTAACTCTGTGAACCTTCCGGTTCTAACTCTGTAAACTCTGGAACATACACGGCATGAATCACATAAAATAATGCAGTGTATCACAATCACATAATAGCATACAAGATACTCTGTCACATAACTCTAATTACACTCACTAGGTAAAGTATAGTGAGAAGACTCACCTCGGGTAACTCGGTAAATCTCGAGCTCGGTAAATCTGGTCTAGCCCCCGCCTAATCACATGGAATAGCACTCTAATCAATACAACCCTCAAGGCTAACTAATCCCTCTCTTAGTACTCTCAGAAGGGCAAAAGACCCATTTTACCCCTCTCAGGGCCCAAAGACCCTAACATTGACCAAACCCTAAAAGT